TCCAAGAGACTAATGAATCTCCAAGAAATATACAAAAACCCGTAGTAGATTTTCTGGTATCAACACATGAACCCGAATCAACATCGGAAAAAGGCCTTTAACTTGATAGGAGAGGAAGAATAGGCTGGGAAAAATAGCCCCTGACCAGGGCTGTTCTTCAAGTAATGCAGAAGATGATGCACTACTTTCTTATGTGGTAGGCGAGGTTGAGATATAAACTGACTCAACTTATGGACATCATAAGTGATGTTTGGTCGAGATATAGTCAGATAAATCAATTTTCCCACCAACCTTCTGTAGGAAGTGGCATCAAATAATAAATCACCTTCATGTAAACTGTGAAATGATTTAAGATCCATAGGAGTACTGACTGGTTTGTAATCCAAGTAGCCTGCATCTTCTAGCAACTGCAGTGCATAATGCCTTTGAGAAATCACTATCCCTGACTTAGAGCGAGCAATTTCAATCCCCAGAAAATACTTCAAGCATCCTAGATCTTTCAGCTTGAAATGTGAATGTAGAAATGTCTTTAAAGAATCAATCACCTGAGAGTTTGGGCCAGTGATGATAATGTCATCTACATACACTAATAATGCCACACAATTATCACCTGAACCCTTTGTGAATAGAGAATAGTCAGCATTTGACTGGATAAAATCCATATAAAGAGCTTGTGAGAATTTAAAATTCCATTACCGGCTAGCTTGTTTAAGCCCATATATGGACTTATGCAATTTACATACTAGCTTCCCTGACTGTTTTGCATCCCTCTAAACAATGTATCCAGGGGGAAGGTCCATGTATACCTTCTCAAACAAATCACCATTCAAGAAGGCATTGTTCACATCGAACTGGACTAGATCCCAGTTATGATAGGTTGCAAGTGCAAGAAGAACCTTGACAGTAACAATCTTTTCCACTAGAGAAAAAGTGTCAAAGTAGTCGAGACCCTCTTGTTGAGTGTATCCATTTACTACTAGTTGAGCTTTATGAATTTCTACTGTGTCATCTGATCTGTACTTTATTTTGTATACCCATCTACACCCCACAGCTTCAATTAATTCTGACATGCTGTGTAAGTGTTCATATAGAGAGACAGAGTAACATTACTTATTATGGTTTAAGGATCCCACATCCAACCTTTCCCCTTCGGTCTTTTTTATATTTTAATTGGGATACGAGTTCTAAAGTAGATGTTGGAGATCTTAGGTTGCTCAGAGTGTTGCATTTAGCGGAAAACTACTCGAATCAATTGCAAAATGAAAAAATAGAACTAGTTAACTTGTGGTACCTCAGTGGCACCTGTGATTATGAATGACCTCTTGACTTAATATGAAATCATCGACATCTACGAACTTTAATTCTTCATGGAAGTTTTCATTTCTATAGGCCATTACATCTACCACCAGAAATATGGAAGATGTCATAATTAAGGCATCTGATGTTGAACAGAGTGCATCTGCCTGATCCTAATTGTGGAGGAATTAATGAGGAAAATGCTATTGTTGTTTTGGAAAACCTGTAAACTCTCTCTATTATAAGCCATTTCCAATTTACAAAGCAGGTCCTCCAAAGAATTCTGAATCTAAAGAAATTGGGATTCTATTATGATAGTACAACTTCGGATTGGGAGTACTACTGCCTCAATAATCTTGAACGTCTACATAAACTTGAAGCATTAAAATGTCTCTTTTCTTCACCACCACACCCGTCTTTCCGCAAGAACCTCACTTTCCCACGTTCGCTTAAAAAGATAACTTTAAGTCGTTCCAAGCTTTCTTGGGAATATATGACGGTTGTTGGTTCGTTGCCCAATCTTCAAGTGCACAAACACAAAGTGAATGCCTTCCACGGCAGAAAGTGGGAACCAAAGGAAGGTGAATTTCCTAAACTGAAATTTCTGCTGCTTGAAGAAATTTATCTGGTACATTGGAGAGTCGACAGTGTCCACTTCCAAAGCCTTTAGCGCTTAGCCCTTAAGGAGTGTGAATTTATGAAGGAGGAGATCCCTTGTGGTATTGGAGAAATTGCAAGTCTCGTAATGATCGAGTTGCACAAATGTTGTGATTCACTTGTAACTTCGGCAAAGCAAATACAAGAGGAACAACTCGACTTTGGAAATGATAACCTTTAAGTTCGCATAGTGGGATTCGATTGATTTCTATGACTTGTTTCAATGTTGTCCACTCCAACATTATTCAGGTAAAGGTGCTTTCTATTTTTCTTTTCCAGTGCAGATAATGAATGTAATTTTTCCTATTTTTGTTTGTGATGGGATACAAATCTAATTTTGTACAGTTCATATATCGTTTCTACTTTAGAACCGTTGACTGTTTATGAGAATCATGTTAACAAGTTGCTAATTGATCTTACAAATGAATGCAAGTATTTTTACTGTCCTTTATCTGTCGCCTCTGAAAATTAAACAACATTAAGATTCCCAACTTGAATAAATATGTGAAGTGCGTTCCAAAACAGCATTCGATTTCAATAATCTGTCTTAAATCTTTTTTTCCTCTAAGGTTTGGAATCCCGGGCAGTTACTATCAATTGTTCATTCACTCTTGTAAGAAGAATTGAGTAATGATCTGTTGTACTTTTCTTTTTTGACTCGAGTGGTTAGGGTTGATTTTAAGTTCAAAACAAGGATGAGCATTGTAGTAGATGGACAAACAGCGTGAAACTTTTTTCTTCACATCTATAACACAGATGGTTTGGAAATTTTCCCTTAGTGGAGTAGTGCTACATTGAAGCTTTGATATAGCGTACATTGGACTCTATAAGCTGTAGAACTCATCAACATGCATGATAATTACGGCTACCAGAAATTTTGAGAGTTTAGGACCATCGTTTCGTTGGGCAAGGTAGTCCTCCCCGAAGTGCTAAGGCCTCGACACTGATATGATTATCCCCCGTGCACACATCTACATTTGTGTTGAGTTTGATCTCGTCGAAGCTTGAAGTAAATCAAATAGCTCTCACATGTATTGTTGCCTGAACCTCAGTGTTGTTTGAACTCTTGTATTCAATATTTTCTAAGTATTGCAAAAACAATCAAGATATCAGAATAACTCTGATACCAATTGTTGTGGAACAAACCACCAGATTGAGATGATGAAGTTATATGGAAAATAATAATGAAATATTTGATCAAACAAAAGAATAACGAAGACAAGAATATAACAAAGGAATTAAGAGATTTTATTGACTCAAAAATAATGGAGAAAAAAGAAAATTTCAATGGATCCTATAATTCTAGTAATCTATTTCCTCACCTTATAAAATTGTATAAAAGAGCCTAATATTTATAGGGAATAAGTAGGGGATGTCCAACTCCCCCTAATAGAGTTATTGATGAAGTAGGCTATCATTAAATTGAGTTCAAAACAAATTCCGACTTCCAACGGACTTCCAAATAGAACTTCGCATGTCCAAACCCACATAGTAGAGTTTTTGTTGAAGTATGATACCATAAAATTGAATTCAAAACAAATTTTAACTCTTAATGGGCTTCCAAAATAGAATTTTAACATGACATATGACTCCAATAATATTTCAAATTTGAATTTTTCATGACATGCACTTCAATTAGAATTCTTCAATTATTTCAACAAGAAATTCGGGTCACACCCAAATTCTAACACTAAGTTCCACTAATTGACCACAAATTCCAGTATTTTCAATAGAGTAGTTAATCGAACAAGTGACTTTCTCCTTCCCATTCTTAGGCACTGGTATTCAGGGGTGATTTAGATGTCTACGATTGAATAAATAGTTCTAGGAGCGATTAAATTGTATTTTCTTTGCATTTATTGCAATTTTTTCTTCACGGCATCCCATTTTAAGAGAGTGATTGACTATTTCAAAAGGTATGCCAATCTTTTAATTTACCAAGAGTTTTAGGCCTTTTACTTTTGCTTCTGTTTTACTTTTTTCAGAAGAGTTTATTTTTCTTTCCCATTTTGTCCAACACGAGTGCAAGCAACATCGAACTCCATTTTGCACCCATTCATCTTCATTCATTGATTTTTGTCATAAAGTCAAAAGTAAAAGTTGAGGATGAACTTGACGGACAATTCTTCGTAAAACACAACTTATTATGATACTTTTTTGTTAAAATCTGATCGAACTAATAGATAGATTTGTTAGTGGGCAGTAATTGTTAGTGCCTCGAAATAAAGTGATTGAATTTTTATAAATCGTTTGAATGCATGACATGTATGCTTATATTTGACTCATGTTTATAAACATTCAAATCGTCTTTTATCCATACATTTCGAATGATCAACAAGTATTATCTACTTCTTTAATTCTTTTATAATTCAACCGTTTATAAACACTTTTGGTTAAATTAATTTTTATCCATACGTTTCATAGTAACCACAAAAATTATCCACACACACAGTAGCATTTATATAACTATACCCACAAGCGCCACAATCATTATTTAAAAACTCTTTTTTCTACATATTTATTTTTAATGACACATTCACATAATAAAAAATTCTGCACGTAAATTCAAAATTTTCATTATTTTTAATCACATATTCTTCTAAAAATTATTATTCAAAATATTATTTTGTTCAAATAATAATCATCGAACGATGGCATAATTAGAGCTTGTTTAGTAGGAATTTTTTGGGGGAAGAATTGATTTTAAATAGTGATATGATGCGAAATGTATGGTTGAAAAAGAAGAAAAAACTATTGATGTAATGAAAAATATTATTTTATTGAAAAATGTGTGGTTAAAAATGAGAATTAATTTATTATAAAAAATAAGAATTCCTACCAAATAGACCATTAGACTTGTAAGTTGTAACTTTTCATGCTTAGCCTTAGGAAAACATGTATAACAAGAAAAAAGTACTATTGTTTGAAACGAAGCAAAAATAAAATGGCGGGCTAAACAAATTCTCTCTCTCATCATTCAATTCAAACCCTCCCTTCAGAGATCCACAAACTCGCACGCAGAAGACGAACTTATCGCATAGATGCAGATGCAGAGCGAAGGAGAGAACAATGTGCGGACTCGATTGGCGGAAACCCGATTAACATGCGAGAGAGAAATCCCCATTCAGCAGCAGAGGATCGTTTCCACCGTTATCTCCGAGCGGAATATTTTCGATTCTGTCAAGTCCAAGGCCCAACAAACCATTCATCTTCAAGGCGAATTTTTATCATACTTTTTGAACTTATATTTTTGTTGCAATTGGGGATTATTTACTTCTTTAGGGTTTATATATTTTTTGCTTAATTGGTAAAGAACCATGTTTTCATTAGCTAGAAGTTGATGTCAGATCTATATTAGGGATGTTTTGGGTTGTGGGATTCTCTTATTTTATTGATTAAGTAAAAGTTTTGATTTTTGTCCTTAATTTTGTTATTGTACTCTTTCAGAAAGATTGGGGAAGCTTAAAACTGAGTTAAGAGAAGCTGAGGATGCTTTGGTAAAAGCTCTTGCCGGTACTCCCCCCCTCTCTCTGTCTCTGTGTGTGTGTGTGTGTGTTGATGTGCACAAATTCTTAAAACCTTTTAGTTGCATATGTATATGACTGTCAAATTGTGGGTTTTTTGGCAACATAGCTGGAAACTTTCCTTCTAAAGACCTTTGCGTTTTAATATACTAATAATGTTCTTTTGTCTGTTACACTAGATTGATAGCTACCAGTCTTGGTATGGTTAATAAAATATTAATGGCTTTAAAAACTACTTAGTTGAGGAACTTTAGACGGATTTTTCTCATGGGGGATGAAAGATATATTTCTTGGTTTCTTGAAAACTGGTATGGATATTTCAGGTCGTACTTAAATTTTTTAATGTAGTTATTGTTCCCCATTCTGACATGATTGTTGGATTATTTGACTTGTTGCTTGATAAAGTTAAATTTTTTTTATTAGCATTAAATGCTGAGTATACCTTCCAAAACTAGAGCGCTCAAATCCTAAGAACAATCCATGAGTAAAGAAGAACAAGCACCTTAATGACTGTATGTTGACTGGATACAATGGTTCTATATATGAAAAAGGAAGCATTTACAAAATACCCTCGATGTTGATTGTCATTTGCCTCAATGACATGTTAAATTTATATTTACTTTGAGGTCTGGAGCAGAAACTTGTATTTTAGGAAAGTGACTTCAATTTGGAGGGAAACTTAGTGGCTCTGATTTTTGTGTTTGTAAGACAGTTATCTTACCAGGGAATTGAAAAAAAAAAGGAAAAAGAAAAAGAATGAACTCCCTATTTTTCTTCTGGGCTATCCAACTGCTGTCTTTTTCATTGTTTTGTCTTCTATTTTAGTTATTTTTCCATTCACAATCCCTCGTACCAATCATTAAACAGGACTCGTTGCTTAAAAGATTAAGGTGCCTCAGACATTATTTCTTTTGAGTTTCCTAAATTTCTGTGAATGTACTTGTTATTTGCTGAAGATTTGAACCTTATTGAGCATGTTTACTTCTCCTCCTTCCCACCCCCTTTTGCAGTGAAGACTCGGAAAGAGGCAAAGCAGATGGCCATAAGGGACTCGATATCTGAGACAAAAGCTAGAATTGAAGAACTTAAAGCAATTGTAGAAAATCAAAGGGCAAAGAAAGATGAATATGCCAATATAATATCTCAACAGTCTGAAGGTGAATTCTTTCCTCATATGTTTGCCTGTGAGGCTGTGGCTGTTTATTTCGAATGGTTCATTTTGATCTGTACTCAAATTTTGGAACTTTAGCAGATAATTGCAGAAAGAAAGCACAAGGAAAAATGAAAGTGAGTGAAGAGTGTAAAGACATTACAGAAAGAACAATTTGAAAGTACTTCAACACATGCCAAAGTTTCTTATATATAAGCACTTACGAGCTAAATATCCAATTGTGAAACTTAGCCTATGTTTGGCTCATGCTTATAAACACTCAACGGATTTTATCCACATATTTTGAGGGACCCACAAGTAATACATATTTATGCACCACTCATTTCTATCCATTTATAAATAAATTATAAGTACTTCCCAACATGCTTCTCTTAAATTTGCATTAGGTTCATATTTTAGAGTAGCGTGAAATTGAGATGTTAGCCTGGGTAAAGAGTATTTGGAGGGATGGAATTGACATGGTAGATCAAGTGAATGTGCACTGTGCCTGTTTATTTACATTGGTTGTTAACCTTGAGACGATTGATAGGCTATTGGAGAAATGAGAAAATAGAGGTGACAAGAAAGAAATAAAGGTACTGAGGATTGGAGCACGTTGGTTGGGGTGAATATGGGACAAATGGATTCTGTCATCTTGTTTAGTAGGTGATGGGAAGTGAGTGATAATGTGAAGGTCGAGGGGTACATAATCATCCAAACTCATTTTTTCATTCCCCAAATTGGGCTGAAAAGAGTATCCAAAGCACTAAAAATACTGAAGCAACCTCAATTAAAGTTTGTAGAATAAGAAAAAGGGTATAACTGTAAATTGCAGTTAAAATAATTCTCTCTTTCTTTACCTTCCCTTTCTACTCTCTGTTTCCATCCCTTGTTTGGTAGATACCATTGACTGGATAGTGTTTTCATTTATCCAATTTCATCCTTTCTAGGATTGCCTTTAGATTTATCTAATGATTTGTTTGTTATGTGTTAGTATTTCAAATCAATGCTATTGATGAAATATTTATACTTGCATGGCCTCATCATCTAGTGCTGACCTTCAAATTCCTTTTCTATCTTGGTGAAAAGCTTTGGTAGCATATGAAGAAAAGTGCAACCAGATCAGTGAGCATGAAGAACAAATAGAAGAGGCCATTTCATGGTATAATAGGTTCCTTGGATTCCGTATCGAATGTGGTCATGGTAAATAATTTCTGGGACTTGTTGAAGGCTTGTAAATACTACTTTCATCCAAAAAAAAAAAGAAAAAGAAAAAGAAAATAGTAACTGTTCCTTATGTTCTGCCTCTTTTGCTCCCTTAGGTGTAAAGTTCATATTTTCAAACATTAATCCAAAGATTGCAAATGAGCAGTACTCCTTTGTCATTCGTCATGAGAATGAGATATACACATGTAAGGAATACGCATTTCATTCGTTTGCTGATCTCCAACAAACAAAAATCTTACTATATTTTCTTTCTATATGACCTCCAGTGCTTGATTGCAATCCCCCTTTGAATGACACAAGAGAGCTGATCTGTGAGCTGAATAAAAGCAACGGACTGTTCAAATTTGTCAGAACCATGAGAGAGAAATTCCAAGAAGTTGCAGCACATGGTATGGCGTTGTATCTTGCTCTCCTTTTTAATATTCTTGAGATTGGTAAAAACTTGTGGAGAAAGAAAAAGGTCCATATTCCTATTGCTTGTTTCTTGCGTTCTGTTGCACAATTATGTAAAAGAAAATGATTTTTTGACTTCTTTTTCTTTACGGTGATCATAAGGTTTCTAAGCATAGTTATAATGAATATGCAGGAACCTCTAATCAAATTACATCTCTCGATCAAGATTCTTCAATGATCTCTCCATCAGCCCCAGTAGCTTCAGTTTCAACTGATCATAGAGGTGAATCTGTGGTCAAGGAAAAGGAGATTCAACCAGGTGAATCTAACCACATCTCCAGAAAGGTTGGCAAAGGACAAGCAATTCTGTCTCCTGGATCTGCTTCGTCCGTTCGTCGCTCCTCACGTTTAAAGGTGACATCTGGATATGCTGAAACAATACATTCTTAACAACTAAACTATCTATTTGAGATGTAGTTGGTATCTGAAAATTTAGGACATAGTTGCATCTGCAAGATATACAAATATGATTTAAAAAAAAAAGCTATTTCTTGTTTTCTTAAAGAAGAGAAAAGAATGCTTCTCTTTTCTATCTTTTTCTATCATGAACAAGAGTCTCTTTAGGTCTAAATACATCTCATTTCTAAGAAGTGATAAAATGTTATGTTGGTTGTTAACCTGCTGCAACCTTGCTCCTTTATCCTACTCAGCTTATGTCTGAAGTAAATCTTTATGAGCCACGCATATTTGAATAGCAAAACAGAGAGGATAAGTTAACCATGCACAAAACTTGCACAACACAAAGACCTTTGCGGATGTAGATTTGTGTGCCTTTTTCCACGCTGAATTAGTATATAACTGAAGATTGAAAAATTTGCAGGTTAGAAAATGAGGATGATCTTCAATCTGAAGAACTACTCATCACATGCCGTGCCTGCTTGCTTCACCATTTAAGCATCAATGGAGTGAAGCAAAGATCTTATTTTGCTTCTGTAATGTTAACCGTAGTGGTTAAGCAGCACGCTAAACTGAGTGCAGTGGCCTCATTAGTTACTATTGCTGATGTATCACATGTTTTCTTGTGGTAAATGATTGTCCTGTACTATACTGCATTAATTTTATAAAATGGTTTGATTTTATTCTTAGCAAAACACGGTGGCGTTGTTCTTCAGCATGTATAAATGATGCCCAATTCAAGCTTAGCAGTGCATATTCTTTAAATCGAATTGATATAAAGTTGCAATTTATATTTGCATATTTGGTGGTATCACGCGTTTTGATGTTTTACAAAATGGATACCACCTGCCAGTGGACACTGAACAAAAGAGTAGTGGCTGCTGATGCATCAAATTCTTATGGTGCCTTTTAGGTTTCTGCATCTTGAAAGAGGCAGAAATGTCTTCATTAAAATTTGCTATTGCTGGAAAAATATGTGAAATTGGCATTATTCTGTACGGATAGTGTCTTGCTGTCATGAAACTTTGGATCGTCTAAAGCTAATAGTATACTACTTATGTGATTGTCGTCTGCCTTGGATATACACTTATGTGGCTGGTTACATGTTGAAAACTACTGAGTTTTATTTGTGAAGAAGACTAAAATTTTAGCTTGCTGGCTGTAGCAATCGCCTGTGTATTAAAGCTTTTGTCTGCTTCCGTAGCTTGTGTGCTTCAATTTCACTGTTTGCTAGTGCTGAGCAGCGACTCTCATTACAGTCTGCAAAGTACTTGCCACTCACCCCGGCCATCCGTGGGCTTAATGCAGTGTAACATGTGGTTGCTGCCCCCTGCAAATTGCATGTCAGATATCAGGAAGAATTTATAAGAGACAAGGTAAATATAATTTTACCCCCTCGTAGTTTCTAGAAGTTGCACATGTTATCCCTACTGTGTCCTAAAGGCTAAGATGCCTGCATAATGAATATTAATAGCAAAAATTCAAAATTCTTAATGCGAGAATAGGGATTGCAGATCTTGATTGTGGAGGGTGATTTGGGAGTCTGCATTATTTATGAAATATGTCAAGAGGGAAGTTTTCTGTCCTTTCTACAACAGTGTAACAATACGCTTAATTTTGCCAACATAATTACACTGAGAATGTGTATTATCCTTGGTTGGCATAGAATTATATGTTAATTGTACAATTTTGAAGTGAAAGGGACTAAAAGCATCTCTAATGCATTACGTGGATTGCTGTCGAGGTAACATGCAAGTTGAAAGACTTAATGAATACACTTCAGTCTAAAATTGATCTTCAATTGGTTCTTAAAATAAAAACAAAATCACATCAAAAAGTTTACATAGGAAACATAAATTTGCATGAAAGATACAAGTTTTGCTAAGTCAGCAAGTCCAATAGAGGTTTTGAATTTAGATGAAGGTTTTTTTTTTGCCACATTATCTTGACAAAGCCCTTGGCATATGAATTATGCTAAGTGAACATTCCATAGTCTACATCTTGGTGTACACTGTGTGGCAAATTCAAAAAGTATTGGACGAAAGTGTGTTTTTTTTTAAAATTGTCCAATCATATGTCGACATGTGGTACAATGTAAAAAATGAATTAAAACTAGATGTACATACAGCATGATTGTTGTCATATTGCATTAGTGGGGAATTTTTTGAAATATTGTCTATTTTGATTTATGTGGCAATTTTTTTTTTTTCTTAGTAATCTACGGAAGCATTGGAGATGCTTTAATAGGTCACTTAAAGAGGGTTTGATCATGTTTGCATGAGCTTAAAACTTATTTTCTAATAAGTTAGGCTTATTTTTCTAGAAAAATAAGTTTTCTAGTAACAACATAATAATTTTAAATAATCATGTTTGACAAATAAATAATTGATAAGCAAGTTTAACTTTTAAGCACAGCCAAACGTATGTTTTATCGGTTAAATGAATCTTTAGCGACATAGAGTATAGGCAAGTATGCAGCGACAAACCTGTGATATTGATTTCAGCAATTTGGATGCCATAAAAAACAAAGAATCTGAAAGTTGCAAATAAAGCAGTGGATTTAGTTAAATTTGCCTGCTGGATTGCGAAACATGCTAAAAAGCAAAACAGATGGATCAAAAGTAGCTTCTAAAGGTAATGCATGCCTGTGATAAAACCTTTGTATTCTCTGATAATTCCAGTCTTTACAATTCCTGGGTGCACTGCGTTGATAGTTACATTTGCTTTTCTTCCCTGTTAGATTCCCATAAATATCATGATGAGACAAAAAAAAATGGTTTCTTTTTCTTGTTTTGCTTCGTAGATAAATTCAGACAAATTTGTGACTTTGAAAGGGATGTTTCATTAATTCTTTTTGTCTGCTTTTATGTAGATAGAATTATTTAAGGGTGTAAAAAAAAAAAGTTAATTTTATGTGTTTTTACCTTGAGCAGTCTTGACAATTCCTTGGCATGCAATATGTTAGCTAGTTTTGATTGGGCATAAGCTCGAGTGCCGTTATAACTGCAAGAATAAGCATGAACCGATAAGAGTAATGCTATTTTAGAACAAGTATTGTTTAATACCAATTGACGTGGCAGTATTACTATTGTCACAATGTAACAAAGTTGAGATGTATTTTATTTTCTGGACAATGGGACATTGGCCTCTTTGCCACTGATACTAAGCACCAGTTGTGATAGATAATTCAACGAAGACCATATCATTAAACAAGGTAGAATCTCAAACTTGTTCACGAAGAATGTCCATTTATTTCTCGTGTTGCATCTGCTTTCTTGTTCAACAGCATTATGAAGCATAATATTTTGAAATTTATAATTTTAAACCGTATATCCCTTTTTCTATAGCTAGGTTGTTATTTACTTAATTTTCTAGATTCTGAAAGTAATATTGAGAAAATTTGAATTTTTTCACCTTTTGGGGCTGAGCATTTTGCTGAAGCAAAAATTGTTTCTTTTCACCCAGCTGTGAATCACTGAAGAAACATTCACTATTCTTCCTTGGATGCCAGTTTCTGCTGCTGTCTCCACCATTTTTTCCAACAACATTTCTGTTAACAGAAAATGTCCTGCCCAAACAAAAACACTACAAATTTACTTTTGAGTTACTTATTTTATCAAACATAATTCTTAATGTTACTTTTCATTGAAAAAACCTACTTTTTTATGGATTAAATCTCAACTTTTTTAGAACTTAAGTTTTTAAGAACTTCTACATGAATATTTTCTGGGATTAATTTTGTTTACAGTAGTTGTTGTCAAAATACATTCTATACTTAAATTAGGGTCCATTGAATCATTTATGCTTTAATTTGTCAATTCATTCAGTTCCGTCACATTGTCTAATGCTGGACGCTGACGTGGGCCATTAAATACAAATAGCCATCCTACATGACCTTGAAAAAGTGATGCAACAAAAATAATGAGAAGAAGAATACCCAAGTAATTTGTGGCAAAAGTGATCTCAATTTTGTTTTCAGAGAACTCCAATTTTTGTGAATATTTGCCAGCATTGTTTCTGCAAGGTAAAATTTGATAGTTGCCATGAGTTTCTTGTATATACACATGTTTGGTCCAATGGACTAGTTGAACTACATTGGACAGATCCCATCTATTGTAATATGCAGTGTTGTCGGATAGTGTGTCTGAAAACTTGTGTCCACTTTAATAATAGATGACTAGAAAACTTACATGAGAATATGAAGGGGCAATCCTAAGGATAAGAACTCAGAGCAAAATCTCTGAATTGAAGCAAACGAGCTCAAATCTATCTCTAACAAGATTATATCTGCTGCCGGGTTTTCCTTGAGTAAACTTTCTTTCACTCTTGCTGCCTTCCTCAAGTCCCTTGCCGGAATAATTATTCTCACGCCTCTTTTCGCCAGCACTCTTGCGGTTTCAGCCCCAATGCCAGACGTCGCGCCTTAAATATCATACAAAATAATCCAAATCAGAAGCGCTGTACAATCTTTAAATTAAAGAAAAATATAATTAGATTTATATAAGAGAAATCAATCTGATATTCAACAAAACAGAAATAATTCCAGGTTTCTTTTATGATCAATCTTAGTCTTCTTTTCTCTTTTCAAAAATACAAAATTTCAACCAAAATTATGATGAGTGACGACACCCCACTCTCAAAACGAATGATACCTCATGAGCACTCTTTTGTAAAATTCGTGGAGTGCTCAAGATTGTGAAAAATAATAACAAATGACAAATTAAGTCTTATTATCGATAAATTTACTCGGCTCTAGATGAATCTTTTTTCTCTTCACCGAGTTTTCAATATTGCTCGTCTGCTTGAAAGTTATTTTCGCCGAATGGAATGGATAAGAGACTAACCAGTGACAATTGCAGTGAGATTAGAAGGAATGAAACCCATGCAATCTTGAGTTACTTGCTCAGCTGTTGATTTTGAACCATAGCCACTTGGGCCTGTGATTCCTGCTAAGTACTTCAATGTTTCCTTCATGAAAGACACACAATTCAGAACCTTAGACCTCAAGATTTCAAAAATGTTGGGCAGCCTCTTATATATAAGAGTCATCAACTTAGTATTTAAATTCCATGCACCAAACGTGGTGCATGTATCTTGGAGACTATATCTATGTCTATGTATATGTTTATATGTAAATGTTATCACTCAAGCTAAATGTTTTAAGAGTGGGGGGTGGGGATAAGATGGGTGGTCCCATGGAGCTTTTAAAAAAGGGTAGCCTAGTATCTAAACATTGCAATGAACCATGATGAAACCTAGCTTGGACAACCTATCTAAGATTAGAAGGACTCATACTTGAACCGAATGCTCAGACGATAAAGTTGGCTCGTGGGTCTCAATAGGATAAGTTGTCCTTGGAGCTTCAGGAAAAAGGTAACCTAGCTAGTATGTAAGCACAGCAATGAAACGCGACGAACTCTTGGACCATTTCACTCTTCTACGGACTCGTACATGTACTAAATGCTTAGACAAGAAAGTTGACTCGTGGGACTCTGTATAATGAGAACTTCGTTATCCATAACCAAAACCTTTGTAGAGGAACGAGAAAGTTTGTGTGGTTAATCGAGTAGCAGATTTTTGGGCGTGTAATTGAGAAAGTTCACTGTTATAAATGGTCAGTTTTCTACTACTAATAATTAATGTCTCCCCATATTAGGTGCCTTTCTTCTTTTGGTGGGCCGAGGGGATTATTGTTATAGGGCACATTTTACTGTTTCAAATGATTTTTGTTCAACAAGCTTAATCCAGTGATGTCAGAGATGACCCCCTAATGAAGTTTTAGGGTATTTTATTATAATATTTTATTATCATTTTTATTCCATTTTCTTGGATTTCATCATGGATTTTGTCCCCGTGAAAGTTAGACACAAGATTTTATCTTTATTTGTAACCAGGTCACACTATCTTATGGGTTAAACGTCTATTCTTGTGTTATAGGAACAATAATTGATAACAATAATTAAAAGCAATTAACAAAAATATTATTTGCAGTAGTTCGCTGTCAATGCAAGTGGTTTGATTAATAATCTAATGAAGAAAAATATATTACAATATATTTTTGTACTTATTTATGTAGGAAGAAAATGTTAAGGTAATATATGTAAGAAATACATAATACTACCTATAATATTATAATTTAGATCACAAATTCAACAATCTTAGCCATCAAAGGGGAAAAAAAAAAAAAAAAANAAAAAAAAAAAAAAAAAAAAAAAAAAAAAAAAAAAAAAAACTCCACGCATCAAACACTAGAATGTCAAATCTAGCACACTGATGTTATATTTACCTTTGGAATTGTAAGCTTGTCTGCACTTTTACTCCAGAAGCTCAATCAAAATGTCTCTAAATGGACAAAAATAAAAAGTAAGGATGGCTGGATTGTCATCTCTCACACGAGTTCATCTAGATAACTTGTAATTATAAGCTGTCTCTTAAATTTAAATTATATTCTCACACACAAACATGGAGGATTGATCTCCTAAGAACATCTCACATGCNGAACTTGACAAGTTCCTTATATATGTGAGAATTACTGAAGCCTTCTTTAATCTCAATAGTATTTCTTGTGTGGCTCGGAAGTTGGTTGAAACAGGAAGCTTTTGTTATTTTCCATTGGTTTGAAGGCTGATTACATTGGTTTTGATATTACCTGGGGCAACTGCAAGTGTTGAAAGAGTATTCTCTGCTATGAAGCTAATCAAGAGTGACTTGCGCAACAAAATGGGAAATGATTGGTTGAATGACAATTTGATCGTTTACATAGAGAAAGACATTTTTGGAAAAATTGAGAATAAGACAATATTACAACATTTACAAAATATTAGACCCCGTATAATACAGTTGTCTAAGTTTACAATTACTGAGTAATGTTGTATCGTATTGATGATTTATGATTTATATATATTGATGGATGATTTATAGATTTAGTACTGTAGTTTGAGTGATAATTTGTTATATTATTCTTCTTGTAGTCATTCATTTCTCTCTCTATCTCGTATTTCGTAAACGATTTCGTTATTGTGGCTATTGACGATTGATATTTGACGGCCGCCCTAGCCGAACAAAATTCTTAGATTCGCCAC